GCTTCCCGCCTTGCTTGGGGTGAAACGCTTAAAAAAAAAAAAAAGAAAAAAAGAAGTTACGCTAGTCTACAAGCTGATATTTTAAAAATCTATCTAAACGCAATAAATATAATGTCACCAAATAATCGTTCTGTGCTTAAACATCGAAGAGGAAAGTCTTAGTTGTAACAGATTAATTTTTCTGATATTTACCATCTATTGTAATCAGTTTGCATTTGAAAAAATAGAATGAGCGTATTATTGATTCGAACGTTGAAAAGGAAAGAAAACATGCCAACTTTATAAATAAATCTGCTAGATTTTACGAAAGGTCAAGATTACACCAAGATGAGAAAAAGAAAATACTATAGATGATTGATTGTATGTAATTTATTGATTTCTTTTATCATTTACGGATTATCAACCTTTTGTCGGTTATTTAAAGCCAAAACATATTTTAGATTTTAAGAATAATTATTTTGTTTTAATTAATAATTTCGGAGAATAACAGTTATACATGATTTACTTTTTAACCCATACCGGTAGGAAGTAGATAGATTCATTGCGCGTAAATGAATATAAGGGACCCCGTTGGAATTCGAACTCAACACTTCGATATAGCGTTCCAAAACACTATCCATTACACTATCTGCACATCCGACCGTGCCTACGGCGGTTTACAAAGTTTGACAATGTTCACAGATCAATCAGATCAGCTCATCTCTATGGGGTTCATATTCAAGAACCTATTTGATAAAATCAGATATACAAGAATTGCAAGATGATTAACATTGGAAAACTAGTGAAATTAAGCAGGAAAAATAATTTTCATTTATTTGGTTTATTAGTTGTCTTTTAATAAACTTGATTCCGTTTGGCACAAGACCAGTAATACGGGGCACCGAGTGAAGATCTATCTCGAGATACAGTTAAAATTTTCAATCATACTGAGTCGATGAACTTTACTCTACGGCGAAGTGACCCAAATGTTTATTAAAATGGGCATAGTATCTTAACTGCAGAAAACTAACCATGGGTATATAGTACCCAGCGCAACTTTGCCTAATTTTAATTATAATTTTCAGTACCTGATTTTCTTACCTAAATAATGTTTTTCAGTTCCTATTAATTTTAACTCAAAGTACAAAGTTTGAAGTGCCTGCATATAAAATATTTCAAATAAAGATTTATATTTAATTTTTCTTTTTTGATATTTTTAAAATCGGCTATGATATACCCATGGTTAGTAGTGGTGTAACATTAATTGATGGTTAGTGTTCTAGGGTTATGAATGCTACAAATATAGATCATCCCGTAAGTGTCGAATTCACTATTCTGTTGTAATGATTTATAGGCAGGCAGGCACGTTAACCATTGATGAAAGCCGAGGTGGACATTTTCATTAGGTTACTTCCTTTGTACGTGTGCAAATGGAAGTTAATGGAAACATGAAACTCAATCCAATTTCCCTGTATGCTTTGTTTCGTTAATCTCACGATAATATTTCGTTTTTGACATTCAATGAAAATTGGATAATTTGCATCAAGATACCGGTGAATAGAAAACCCACCAACGGCATCAAAGGCTGGGTTTTATCTAAAGATGTCTTGCATCGAAAGGAATCTCAGACTAAACTTCGTTTATGGAATCCTTCCTGAAAAGGAAATGACTCTGTCGAACAAATATTGCAAAATTGTTGGGTAATGGATATCGTCCCCGATTGAGAAATCTAAGAGCCAAGTTTCAATTCCATGTTTCTCCCTCCGATCAGTTATAGATTGAAAAATCAGGACAGATTGGGCCCTGTAGCCTTTCTTGGCAACCAGTCTACTGCAGAAAGAAACGCCGACTTACTGCAGGAAAATCTGAAAAGAGAGATCGCGCAATCGTTTTTCACGTATGACACGTAAGTGGCTAGAGGAAGTCACCAAGCAACGAATAGATTTGGGAACTATTTAACAAAAGGCATGAAATCTCCCCACAAGATAGCACTAGACGACCATCCCCTTTTCTGGCCAGGCACAAATTATTATCTCTTTGCCAGAATGATATCAATCGTTTGATGCTTTCTAGCGACATCGGATTTTAGAACTGGCGTAGTGAATGAATGAGATGTTTGTTCTAGCTTTCTATTTGACAAAAATAATCTGTATAGATCAACTACCAATGATTATTTAAAAATATGATCTCATTCTTTATCTGTGGAATTGGGAGCATTAGAGTAAAATCTACCACAACAGAGCCTTACGGATGTCTATTTGAATCCGTAAAACTAGCAGTGACGTTAAGGGAGATATTTGACATTCTTTGTCAGTAAGAGAGAACAAATAACGTCTATAATAAGGATATTCTCCGCTATTTCTTCTAGGGGAGATAAATTTGGTAATAATAATAATAATAATAATAATAATGATAATAATAATAATCATAATAATAATAATAATAATAAAAACATGAAAACAGAAAGAAAAAAAATGAAAAGGCAAAAAAAGAAAGAAAAAATGAAAAACAGAAAAAAAAAAAACTGAAAAAAGAAAAATGAAAACAGAAAGAAAAAATATTCAATAATAAAAGAAGGCAGTAAATACAAACAAACATTTACATTTAGTAGTTCTGGGGATTCTTGTAAAAGAAAATCAAAACAGAAGCCAAGAACCAACTATTGCAGCAAAAGATATGCACTGAAAAAAAAGAAAGCCAAGGATAAAAAGCCCTATATTATTTGAACAGATGAAACAACGCTGGCATGGATGACAAACCTCTGACACAAATATGAAAACTATAGACCAATATCCAGAACATGCAAAAACAAAACCCAATGTTGAAAGTTAATACTACCATCGATGGTTACGACCAATTACTTATTAATAGGATGATTAAAGCTTCTGGAAAAAAAAAATTGCCTGGATGAAGGCTTTATTTCCTGGCAGCGCAAGACCAGAGTCATCAAACAATTTTCACTAAAATTTTCATAAAAAGGAACCTAAATATCGAAATAAACATAATAATGTGGATCAAAATGCAGGTTCTGTGACAAATACCAAAAAACTCAAAGACATGGATCTAATCTCAGGATGTTCTACCAAACTAAAATGCTTCCAAAATGAATATAAAATCGTCACGATAGAGTACAACAAATAGTTTACACTGCTGCTTAACAATGATTTGAACAAGGAAACACTTTGAAAAATTGTGAAAGAAAAGTGCGTAAACACTGGTATGACTGGTATTAAAAATCGGCCAGCGCCCGTTCCCAGTGGAAATAGTTTCAAAGAATGTCACCAAATTCTATGGGATTATACATCATCCAAAGACAGAAAATGTGAACCGTCTACATACATACCCCGTAAAGAAGGTGGAAGAGGTCTTACAGAAAAACAAGAAAAAAACTAACTTACATGGCCAAATGACTGGATGATAAAATTTGAAACAACATGAAAACCAGAAAGAAAAAAATATTCAATAATGAAGGCAGTCCAGCATTTAGGATTGTAAACAAAACAGAAGCCAAGAAAGGAATTTGAAAAAAAACTATCAAAATACAAGACCTGGAAATTGAAATATAAAAAAATGTGGAAATTCATCGAAAACGAATGGAATAAATGAACCAGTGGTAATGCAGGCAAGACCAGACTTTTCACTTGGAATTATATAAAAAATGGAACAAAACAACACATTGAAAGAATCCCCAAATGAATATAAAAAATGAAACCCCACACTTTGGAAAAGAGACATACAGAAAATTGTCTTATTAACCATCCACACAGACAGCACACACACTAAGGAGAACTTTGTCTATGTAACGCTAGCAACTTCATCGGAGATAGAAAAAAAAAAAAAAAAAAAAAATTAACATGAAATGTGGAACAAAACAACACACCACGACCTGCCTTAGGTCTTTCCGCAGACTTGGTAGGAGAACTTTGTGTAACGCTAGCCTTCAGCAGATAAAAAAAAAAAAATCGAATGATGATGATGATGCACAATAATAATAATAATAATAATAATAATAATAATAATAATAATAATAATAATAATAATAATGAAGGGACACCTGTTAACCTATGCTTTAAAGAAATACAATAGTACACACAAGTACAGCTTACACATTAGGAAGTGCTTTATCGTTTTATAACTATTTTATTTTTTTTTTTTTTACAAAATTGATCAGTGGAAAATATCACAAAGCCATTTCTGACCTTTGGTCTGTGGTTGGGACCCGGAAGGAAATGTGTATACAACAGAAATCAAAGCAAATAATAATAATAATAATAATAATAACAATAATAATAGTGTCTCCTTATTAATATGGCAGTCCCTGCTGACTGCAATGTATCTTTGAAGATATTGAAAAAGCTGTCAAAATAAAAGGACCTTAAAATAGAAATCTCAAAAATGTGGCATATGGGAAAATCAAAAATCCCTGTTGTAGTTGGAGCCCTAGGATTGGTTGGAAAAGATTCCAGTAGACTAATTGAAGGGATTCCTGGAAGTCCATGCCTCAAGGAGATACAAAAAATTGTTCTGACAAATACAGCCCACACTTTACGAAGGGCTTTATCTACGTAATTTAATTTTTTTTTTTTTTTTTGTCAGTGGAAAGTGACATGACGCCATTTCTAACCTTAGGTCCCTGGGCGGGACCCGGAAAGAAATGTGTAAACGCCAGAAATCAAAGGAAATAAAAATGATAATAATAATAATAATAATAATAATAATAATTTGCTGGTATTCGACATCCTAACTACGTTATAAATCGAAATAACCGGAGTGGCATTGCATTGATAAGAAAAATCCCACCTGATACGAAGTCAAATTCAGTGCTAATCAACAAGAGAATCGAAAAAATACCGCACACTAATTGAACGGAAATCAAAGGACTTTTCAACTTGATATCTTTTATGAAAATATCAACAAAACGAGTTCGATCTGATGCGTCGTAATAGGATTTATCGATCACATTGTCCAGTCAGAAAGCAAATTAGGAGGTTGAGTTTTATAAGTTTATACTGAATATTATAATGTTATTCTTAGGAAAAAATCAGTATTCCATATCTATCTATCTATCCATCTATCTATCCATCTATCTATCCATCTATCTATCTCAATTCTCTTCTCATCCATCCTATCTATCCATCTATCTATCCATCCTATCCATCCATCTATCCATCTATCCATCAATTCTCTTCTCATCCTCCATCCATCCTATCTATCTATCTATCCATATCCATCCATCCATCCATCTATCCCCCATCTCAATTCTCTTTTCATCTATCTATCCTATCTATCCATCCAGAAATCTATCATCCATCTATCTAAAACATCAATCCATCCATCTATCTATCTATCTATCCATCTATCTATCCATCCATCTATCTATCTATCCAATCTATCTCCATCATCCCTTCCATCATCCATCTATCTATCCATCAATCCATCCATCCATCCATCCATCTATCCATCTATCTCAATTCTTCTCAAAATCCACCCATCATCTATCTATCCAAAAAAATCTTCTCATCTATCTATCTATCTATCTATCTATCTCATCTATCTATCTATCCATCCATCAATTCTCTTCATCATCTATCTATCTATCTCAATCTCCTCTATCTCAATTTCATCTATCTATCATATCATCTATCTATATATCTATCTATCTATCTATCTCATCCATCTCATATATATCTATCTATATCTCATTCATCATCTATCTATCTATCTATCTATCTATCTATCTATCTATCTCAATTCTCTCTCATCATCTATCTATCTATCTCCAATCTTCTCATCATCTATCTATCTATCTATCTATCTATTCATCTATCTATCTATCTATCTCAATTCTCTTCTCATCTATCTATCTATCTATCTATCTATCTATCTATCTATCTATCTATCTATCTATCTCAATTCTCTTCTCATCTATCTATCTATCTATCTATCTATCTATCTATCTATCTATCTATCTATCTATCTTGTTTGTATGCTGGTCACCAAGGATTTTAACAGCGATTCTGAATATTTTACCATGATGAATTTTCAGTATTAGGTAACAGATGACATTCACGTCCCTTCACAAATGTAACTCTCCCCCACCCATCACTAAATCTTTTACTAACCATCACCTTTTCTTTCACCTTTTCTATATATGCACCTAGATACATATTTGTTGTGGAATTTTTTGACGATGACAATGATTATTCCGATTAAAATAATCTTCGACTGCTCAGTGGTAGTTCACTGGTACCAACATGAAAACAAAAGAAAACAACATGAGATACAGTTATGCGTCAATTCTGCCACCGTAACAAGTGTGCTTAAGTAGATATAAGAAAAAACATGTTTTTAGTATATACAAAATTTACTGTTGTTTTTATGAACGGTTAATAAAATTGTGTAACTTAGGTTAGGTTTATATTACCATACGGCCTTGTGCAAATTAACTGAAACAAAACGAATAATTTCATTATTATTTATAGTCCTTATGAAGGCCGGGAAAGGATTGGTAATTTCAATACCTTAATAGTTGTAGGTTTTAACAGATTTTAAGAATGTGCCATGAAACTCAAATATCCTGTTTTACAGATAAACAGAGTTTGTAAAGAAAACAGCTTTTCCGTCCACCTAAGATAAGAGACATTAATTTACAAAGCATATATAATAAAATAAACGATAAGAAATTCTTACATGAGATAAAAGTTAAGTAGAAAAAAGTTGGGTGGCAATGATACAGAGACCCGTATGCAAATTATTTGAAGCAAAGCGAATTATTATTTACTCTTTTCGTTTCGTATAAAGAACAACTTCGAGGAATGGACATACAAAGTACTAAAATGTGTACTGGATCCTGTTTCATTGGAAAAATCCGAAAAAAAGTACACTATTTACATTATTGGGACTATTGTCCTCATCTTTGTCGTCATATTTATTACAACGTTTCGGCCGTTGTACGCTCCGGCCTTCTTCAGGTGGTTGGAATGTCGAACTGAACCCTTTATTTCGCTCACTGGGGTAGACTGTTCTAGTTCCACGTGCCATGTTTAATGGATGCCAGTTATCAGTCATCTCCGGTTAATTTCCCTCACCAAGTTTTCTACTGTCTTAACCGGGTATTGAACTCACACCACTTTGGGTCCTGTCACTGGATCTAACTAACGTCTTTATCCACTGTGCCATGTGTTCTCTAACCTAGTGAGCGAAATAAAGGGTTCAGTTTGACATTCCAACCACTTGAAGAAGGCCGGAGCGTACAACGGCCGAAAGGTTGTAATGAATATGAAGTGGGGAAAAGGGTTTACGTACCAACCTGTGCAAATATTATTCTATTAGGGTATATGACAGTTCCTTATAGGATACAGGTTCGATTCTTGTTGGAGGACGCATATTTTCTGTGAAATTTCTCGGACATTCAAGCCAGTACATGTTATTAATACTGTTTATTATAAAACAGAGCATTTACTTAAATATTTGTAACTATAAAATGAACGTATAAAGTTAAAAATAAAATCTTAAAATAATTGTCGGACTTTGTCCGTTTTAATATATATATATATATATATATATATATATATATATATATATATATATATATATATATATATATATATATATATATAACGAACGCACCACAAAAAAGGGAAAAATCATACTAAAATAAAACACAAACCAATTTCCAGTGAAATGGCGTTATGTAAGGGAGATAACCATATATGATATTTCTCGAGTTTTGTCCCTTAGAATATAAATACCTTATGTTTACATTTGTTCGTGATAATAAAACCAAATAAATATATATTTGAAAACTACTGAGTTGTCGCCATGTCCAAAGTCTTTTTTGATGATAAATATGTCCTTTTTGTTTACATTTTCGATAAAACTTCATCTTTCATCGCATGTTTGGTCCATGGTATTCTCAGAATCCTTCTATAGAACCAATATTTTTGATACTTCAAAATCCCCCCCCATTTCAGTCACTGAGATTATTATTCTAGTCTGATAAAGTCCTTTTGATGGACGAAACGCGTTATTTAGAAATTTTCCAAGTTGTCAATACTATTTACAGTATATTTTCAAATTTTATTACGAACGCTGATGTCAGTTAACCATTAAACTGTAATTGATTTGTATGTAAAAATATTAAAATACGAAGGATCTCGAGAAATGTTTCAATTTCTGGCATGAGTGATTATCATTATTTACCCTATTTATATTCAGACTATTTTCCTCGTCTTTGTTGTTGTTATCTTAACGTTTCGGCCGTTGCATGGGCTTCTTCGGGTGTATTTCGATCTGGCTAATTTACAGGGAATTCAGAATGAAATCCTTTATTTAATCTACGGGAACAGACTGTTCTTGTTCTACTGCTCATGTCTAGGGATATCGTCTAGTTTTTATTTTATTTCGTACTGTTTAGTTATTACTCGCCCTTTTCCAATGAATGCAACTACACACTGTCCAAACAAGGATTGAACTCACAACCACCATGTTACCAAATTCACGAACCAACGCTTTTATCCATTATACCTTGTGAATAAAAACGTTTGGAAGAATTGTCATGATAACAAGAAAGATAAGGATGCTAGTCCGGATATAAATAGAGTAAATGATGATTTCTCATGGCAGAATTTCAAACATAAACAATAATGCACCCTGAACAGCATTGTGAAATATATTTATTAATTTCTTGACAATCGCATGTACATTATTTATTTATTTATCTACGGTACATTGAGATGAAAATAACGATAATTTAATTTCAGTTTATATATATACATATATACATATATATATATATATATATATATATATATATATATATATATATATATATATGTATATATTAGACAATAAATATCTTATTTTATGGCTATGCGTCCGTATGTTTTCAAGTTTATGCACGTGTCGATGTATTTAATTCTTTTCTTTTTTTTTGTATTCCTCCGCATACATCCTGCGTTTGGCTCCGGGCACGCTTGTTAAATCGTACTCCTTTTGTATACCATCTTTCGAGACAGAAATAAGTTCCGTTCGTTTTCGTCGAAATGAACAATACGAGTTCTGACCTTCCCGAACAGAATATCAAGTGCATTGTTTAGAAATAGGTAAAAAAAAAGGTGAAAGTAAATATAAAATATATCAACTCTTCTATGGATTTAAAATCTCAATAGAGATTATGCACTTAGGGGGAAAAAAAGACGATTTTTTTTCAATTCACAGAAAATCCAAACAGTAAATAATGTATCCATTTGAAAAATGCACAGAAATGCACAAATGTTTTTTTTTTGGCATAAATACACCCACAATACTAGTGATGAATTGTACAGAAAATAACAGACAATAGATTGTAACATGATTAAAAAGGGGGCCTTACCGTTTCCCGAGGATGTCTAATATTTGCCTTTTACTTATTGATTATCAATATCCATATCGTAACGACAGACAATAGGTTGCAATATGATTAAATAGTTGCTCTTACATTACTAAAGCGGTTGTTTCAATTAATTTGCACAAGGGTGTATGTGTTTTCAACTTTATGCATGTGTCGGGGAAAGTAATTCGTCTTCTTGATAAGACAAATCAGTGTCAAAAATAGCCAAATTTATGTTATAATTTTAAAATAAATTAAATTTGCAAATCTATATTTATAATTTCAATAAATTGTATTGAGCCCTCTATTAAGAACTTTAGTATTTTTTGTTATTGCATTCTATTTACATATAGAATATATTTATATATATATATATATATATATATATATATATATATATATATGAAGGAAAATATACTGAAAAAAATAAACAAAATCCTAATATGCGATTATGCTGTTTTAATGTTTTAATCGCATATTAGGATTTTTGTTTGTTTTTTCAGTATATTTTCTTCATACTGTCGGATCTATATCCATATATTTGCTCACACACACACACACACACACACACACACACATATATATATATATATATATATATATATATATATATATATATATATATATATATATATAGTTTATGCAAAACTAGGTAATCTGTATGGGTAGACCCAAAGAGGATGATATCCAGAGAGCTCAATGAAAATTCAGAGCAAATATGTTGGAAAAAAAAAGTAAAGTCTGATGATCCAGAGCCCTTTAAAAGGGCTTTGGTGAAATCATTTATTACATGGAACTTTAAATATATTTTTTTTTTATTATATATATATATATATATATATATATATATATGTGTGTGTGTGTGTGTGTGTGTGTGTGTGTGTGTGTGTGTGTGTAATTTGACTAAAGTGTATATTTCCCGTTTCATCTGTCGTTAATTATTTAACATGTCTGACTTTCTCAGATTTCCCAGTACTAGGCCCTATAGACATCCCCTACGTAGAAGCCTACAATCAAGGAGCTGGCCATGGGCATCACAAAACTTCTGCAAGTCACTGATCTCCAGGGATAGACTATTCTCCTTTCTTCTGCTAATATCTGGGGATTTTTCGTCTAGAGCTTACTTTTTATCACAACATTTCGCCCGTTCTGCTTTCCGGCTTTCCTCAGGTGTATATCGATCTGGGTAACATACAGGGAATTCTGAATTTAACGCTTTATTTAATCCACGGTTGTAGACTGTTCTCGTTTCACTTTTCATGTCTAACGTAGTAACTGAACAGTACTAAATAAAAAATAGGAACTACACGATACAGGTGATCCACATCGATATATACCTGAGGAATGCCAAAGGGAACAATGATCAAAGCAATGTGATAACAACAAAAAAAGATAAGGACAGTAGCCCTTATATAAATATGTACGTAATGAGGACGATGACATTTCTCTTAGAATAATTCCAACTAGAGAATATAAATGGAGAGGCATTTTAATAATATTTTATTAAAATGCTATTTTCATGAAATGCTATTTGAAATAACCTAGAAAGGAAATTAATTTTAATTTCATTATACATAATCAGGCGTCTGGGTTATACGTATTAGTTCTTG